GTGTTGTTGCAAACCCAAAATCCTCTTTCCCTGTCTCCTATACCATGTCCCGCACGCCTGTAGGAAGTAACCCTGGTCAGTCTCCTCCATGCTCCCGAGAGCCTCTCCTGTTGAACTGATCTTGATGAGTTTCACATGGATGCTGGGGCTCATTGCTCTCCTGTGATGGGTCTGGAAATAGCCAGGGCAAGATACTATTTGAATTCCCTCACCTGCTGTTGTTCCTCTGTTTTCTCCATGCTTACTACCCATGCCCTCCCTCCCTGGAAGACTGATCACTCTTAGCCAAAAAAATTAGCATTGAATTAGCCTACTGTGAAAACTAGGTTCAGAGTTGTTAAAGCAGAACTACCTGTTGCTACTTGTGGTTTCTTTGCAAAATACGTTGACCTCTGAAGCTACATTCTGGAGTCCTTTTCACACTCTCCTCAAATGTTAGCACCCTGGTAGAGACTTACAGAAGTAATGATGCTTTGAGGGGGGATCAGTCACATTTTCTGTTCCAGTGAAAATAGCCATAAACTTTCTCCAGGTAAACGTTGCTTTGAGAAAGTATTTGGGAGGAAGAATTAATTAGCCAACAGTAACTAATGTTCTGTCAGTAAAGGCTGGTGAGGCACCAGATTAATTTCTTGGACATGTGGTGGGGATTGCATTGTGGGGGAACAAGGAAGGAGGGACAAACATCTCAGTTATTTTTATCATTCTAGACGGTAGCGTCTTGAGACTGGGGATGGGACTGGTAATCTGGTGTTTAATAAAGTCTCAGGTGAAAATGCATTTACACTGGAATTTACAAATTAGATCAGAGTTTTTACCTGCTTAAAGCTTTATCAGAAGGTGTGAATTAAAAAAGGAAGCATTTTAATAAGCTTTGTCTCCAGGGTCTTCAATGTCAGTACAGCTAAATTTTCCTAAATCTTCCGTGAGAGGAAAGTAGCTTTGTTGTACTTGAAGTAACTCGTGAAATATAGTTTGGCAACACCTCTTTTTTTTCTGCTTTCTCATGAGTCCTTCCACTGAGAGAGGGAACAAAAATTCCTTCTCCTAGACTATTGTCACACACAGAATAATTTCCATTGAGTTCATGTGGCACACCCAGAAGCGGCCGTATGAGTAGAAGAGCTGTCAAATTTTCCTGTATTGTCCACCATTGCCCACCCAATGCTAACCCACTGATGGCTTAGCTTAAAACTCCACAGACCTCTCTTCTTGCTTACTCTGCAGAGGAGTCTTCATGGTGAGCGATGATCAGATAGTGGTCTCAAATTAGATAAATGTTGCTAATTTCATTTTCAAGGGGATAGGAGACAGGATGAATGAAAAGATAGTCTTTCTCTTCTGCTTTTTCTGTACCTGCTTTTTTAAACTGCTGTATTTGAAATGTACATTTGGCAAAAAGTTAGAGTCTGTCGGAGAGCAACTGTTCCCCAACTCTGTACCTTTTTCTTAAATAATAGCTTCAAAGTGAATGACAGAGTTGAATTTTAACTTAAAAATAACTGAGTAATTTCAGTTACTTCTGGTACTTCTGCCTAAAGCTAGGGGCTGAGCCCTCGGCAGTTTTGCTGAGGTTTTCAAATTGTAGATACACTTCTGCAAGTATGGCTTTTCATTTAGTGGTCTACATTAAATTCAGGAATTCATCACTTGTATCTGAGATTTTTGCCTTAACCATTTTCAAATACAGAAGGAAAGGTTTAACGTTGGGGAAGCACAGGTTCAACTCCTGGTGACTGCTTCTTTCAGGTAAATCAAAGTCTCTTTAAGAATCTCTAAAAGAGACTGTGCCGGTGGAGAGATGTCAGTGTCAGAATGAAATTTGTACAAAGGTTAGATTTAACCCCACCCCCCCTTCTCCTCATTCTCATGTGCAATAGAATAACTAGATTCTAATATTCATATTATTGTAACTCTGGAAGAGGAAAAACCTAATTTGAATTACTCATATTGTAAAAACAGTAGATGTTTTTTACTTGTATAAGTGCTCATATTTTCCTTCCTGTCAAGTATGTTCTCTCTAGCTAATGAAGTTCTTGCTTTGAATAGGAGATATGGATGTTCAACCAGCTGAGGATGAAGAAACATTTAATACCATTTCAAATCAGTATCCTGAGATTTATTTTCAGCCCTTGATCCTTACAGGTATGAGATTAATTCCTATTGTAGGAAATAGAGAATGAAGTTCATTGGATGTAAACTTGAAGCGTTATTTAGCCGATTTCTAGATTATTTAGTACTAAATTCGAATATGTTGTACAAATGTCTTTTAGAACCTCCCCCAGAGGATCACTTGCTGCAGAATACCTTGTGGCCTGAAATTCAGAAGTTGTAAGTTTTCTTTTTCTTTTTTATTTAATTTACAAAATTTCCAGAAAGCTATTGCAACATATTAATGTAGTCTGGTCTTGTAACTCTTCCTAGCTTACTACCTGATTTGACTTTGTGTGCAGTCTATTGCTAGTAAAATCAATAAATTATATGTATATAAAAAATAAGGAAACAGTGCAGAAAATGGCAGTTAAAACTATGTGTCACAAAATTCTATTTCACTAGTTGTTTCTGTACTAGTGAAATATGTCTGGTTTTTGGCACAAAGCTATTCTTCTGAATTTGTAATGATCAGGCTTTCATTGTCCCTTTGGATGTTTGTCTTTTGGAGGTCTGTTTAGGGCACCGATCCCTGGGGTTTTTTGTTTGTTTGTTTGTTTTGTTTTGTTTTTTTCCTTCTTTGTTTCAAGAAAATAGTAAGGTTTCTGGTCTGCTATAAGAAACTGGCATGTTTTCATGGTCTTATCTGTGCTCTGGAATGTGGTGGGTCTCTCTTTCCATGCTGCAGCCTTTGTTTTATGTCTGTCTGCTCAGCACATCTGCTTAAAACTTTGCCTATACTGAAGGTCTCTGCATGAGGAGTTTTCTGCTTCTTTCTACTTCGTGGCACAGACTTGCAGATGAAGTTTGTCTTTCTGGTATGGAAGTAAAGGTTAAGGCATCGAAGGAGGAGCTTCCTCCTAAAGCCTAACAGAGTTGTAAGATGCAGTAGATGGAAGCAGCAGCCAAAATAGGATGTGTCTAGTGGTAAAGCAAAGTGATGAATGTTGAGTAAGATGGTTGCAAACCCAGTTTGGGTATTGAATGCTGACAGGGTGGGTTGTGGGTTGAAAAGATAATAGAGTTACATGGCCATGACAGTAATTGTTTTGAGGTTGCAGGGTTTTAGAATTCAGCTTGTTCTGTTCGTTCTTTTCTGAGATTCACAACAATTTGCAAATGAAGGTTGTCACCTTATTTGTTCCCTAAAGATCCTGGTGACATTAGGCTACACTTTCACAATCTTAAAAGTGTTAGTATCAATCTTCAAAGTATAGCAGAAAGAAATGAATCATCTCAAGCTCTTACGGGTTAATTTATATGAATCACCTGAAACAGTGGTCTCGGGCAGGAACAAGAACGTTGAGCCTTTGCTGATTATTACAGGTACCTTTATACATTACCAGTTTTGTGATTTCAGTTGGGGAGTGGGAAGTGAAAAGCTTTGGCAAAGCAGATTGCAGGTTGCTTTCATTTGACCGAGTGGGAGGTTTTGTGGGAGCTCTTCTTTACCTTCAACTGGGCAGTTAATCTTCTCTGAATGCTTTTAAGCTCTTTTACTGTGTTTGTACTCACAAGTGCTTCTAGGAGGGAAGACGGTGGATATTAGACCACATCTGCATATTTTGTAATTTCTAACTGTTACGTTAACTGCTTCTCCTGTGCATGCTATGGCCGCTAATGCACCCACTCATGTAAGTAGTTTGATGAGGGATCTTTAAGTAATGACAAGGAGCCAAGGCCAAAATTTTTCTTCATTTGCCTTTGACATTTCTCAAAGTCTAGTGAGACATTAATCTTTGATATCCTGCTACAGGAGTACTGCCTATCTGCTTTTATATCCTGCATTCATTAAAATAACTGCATTTTATGATGGTCTTCAGGTGACTTATCTGAGTAATTTTTTCTGGTTTTAGAGACACTGCTAATGATAGGGATTCTTTTATGCAAGAGCAACAAGATATAAAGCATTCATAGACTTTCAGGTTTTGTGCTTAGGATAATCTTGAAAGAAGTAACATGAAATCGCATAATGTAGATTTCAAGTTGCCATAGCAGCAGAAAAACAGTGTGAGGAACTGACTCGCTAAAAATAGCTTGTTTGTCACTGACATTTGTGTATTCCCAGCTTTAACTTGGAAACAAATTTTGAAGGATTAGTGTTGGGTTTTGAAAACTGTTTGCTTGACTAGGTTTTAGTATGAAGAACTTGCTGAATTTTTTACATAATCTAATAACTTTAAAGTAAATATATGATAAATCCTGTGAGAGTATGCTAATCTTTATCCTCTTGGAAAATTATCATAGAGTTTATATGCAGCAGGCTGAGATTAAAGCCTGAGTGTTGCCATATATATTTATGTTTATATGTATGTACATTTCATGTAATACACTTGGAAGTCTTGAGAGATCCTTTTTTTCACTAGAAAATTACTGTAATCATTTGTCTGGACATTTTGAAAGTCCAGTGAATTTACCTGTGCATAAAAAAATGTTATGAATTGCACATTGCTAAGGCAAAATTGCTTGTGGTTGAAAATGTCATTTCATTATTCATTCACGCAGTTGCTTCTCTGTTGTGAATCCTTTTTGGTGTTGTACTACATGATGAAGGGATCAGATTGTGTGTATGAGGGCAGGGGAAGAGGTTGTACTAGAGCTTCTATACTTGCAAGGCTCATGCACTCCTGTAAACAGCATCTCCTATTGCCACTAACTTTTATTCCCTTTACTGGAGACAGCACTGGGCTATACAGGCTGCTTGTCTAACCTGTGATAGTCCTGCTCGTGTGACTTTGCAAAAGACAGTATTTTAGGTTTCATTTTAATTTGAAGAGAAAGATTACATTTTAATGCTTCTGTTTAGCAAGAACAAAGTTGCATACAGAAGCTCAAAATGTTTCTGTCAAGTGCTCTTTAATACTACATTTCGAAGATAGAACCAGAGTAACTGAGGACTTGTTTCACCAGTTGTTCCACAGGTCCTTCATTGAATTTCAGGAAATTTACATTTTTCATGGAATAAATACTTTTCAATTTTGGAAACTTGACTTTCAATGATTTTCATTACAGAATAGTCTCCAGGAATGTGCTTTAAAAGTAAGCATTATAATAAAACTCCTGCTGGTGGCAGAGTAAGGGGAAGACACACAGTAATACCTTCATCGCTATAAGATACAATCAAATTTGCAAATTAACATTCGAAATAAGTGCAGCCACCAGTCTTTCTCCCCCCTGAAGATCCAGGCACAGTTACTCTTCACGAAAAGGCAGTGCATCCCCAATCTTCAGACATAAGTGTGGAAGTCTATCTATGGGGTATGCCCAGCAGTGACTCTTCTGGACTCTGTTCAACAGATACAGACAGTAATTTGTCATTTCAACAGGTGGCTGTTTTGGCTGCAAGTGAAATCCTATGAACATCAATCCCATATAAGAACTTCTTTGCAATACTGCTGATCAAAGGAGTTTTTTTAAGAGAACTGCCTGTCTCTTCAGAGCTAGGAATCAAAGGAAGCCCCCCCACAACTGTGGTATTTAGCTGGTATTTGTCCACTGTTTATAGATTGCATCTCCACTTTTACTCCCAGTCTGTTTTGTGACTGATTTTAATTTGTGTTAGTCTGTGTGGCATTTCTGCTTATTAAATTCTAGTCCAGATATGTGAGCTTGAATTCCAGCAGAACCCATGCAAAGACTGATTAAAAATATATTTCTGGAGGAAGCCAGAAGTTGTGGGTTTTTTACTGTGTTGTTTTCCTTCTCCAACATGATTCTTGTCCTCTAGTTCAGAAATCTTCTTCCAGTATTTGACAGAACAGGCACCCTTTGGCTGGGTGTTTGTGGTGTATTTCTTTAGTGATCTTCAAATATGTGGGTTCTGACTTCTATTGGTAGTGTTAAAAACGCTTTACAAGAAAATAAGAGTACATTAAATGCTGCTTTGGTCTGCATTGTTAATCATTAGTGTAGCTTCTGCAGTGCTGATGCTTTAGGACTATAGAATGGGTTGGAGAGGTTGTTCTGTAGTCAGTTCCTAAATGTGAAAGAATTTATGCAGATGTTTATATTGAATGCTGAACATGATTAGGAATTATTTGGGATGCAATACTGAAACAGTGTTGAGAAGTTCCTGGCAGGTGCCTTTCATTTTTTCAAAGGGATTTAAATTAACATAAGAACCTTGATACATACTGCAAAAGTGACTGTGATGTGTTAAGTATCTTTTCACATTTATTTCAGATATGGACATGGATATGAAATTTTTTGTGTTGCTTGCAATAATTCAAACACTGTAATTGCCTCAGCATGTAAGGTAAGAAAAGATGCTAGCACCATCTAGTGAAAAGTGCCACTGGATTTCTAGGGCTGACAGAGCAGGAGTCAGAATTCAGTTTGGGCTGAATTCTGTTCTTTCACTTAAATGTGAAAGATTTTGTATAGATGACAGTTGCCTTGCAAAGGTGACAATGAATGCAGATAAGCTGCTATTTGTAAATTATGTATGATTCATTTGAAGATATTAGTAAGATAAATTCTGACAAATACAGGTATGAAACATTTTCTTACTGAAATATTTTCAGTATTAGTAGAAAGTAGTGAAATAAGCTTGAAACTTCCCAGAGGAAAGCTGATTCTAACTTGATTGTAATCCTTAAAACAAGCCCCCTAACATCTTAGTATTTTGAAATGTGTGACTTTTATATTTGCTTTCATTAATTCTCACTGATATTTCTTCCGTCAATACAGGCTTCCAAAAAAGAACATGCAGCAATTATTTTGTGGAGCACTACTTCTTGGAAGAAACTGCAGAGTTTGTCATTTCACAATCTGACTGTTACTCAGCTGGCATTTTCTCCTAATGACAAATTTTTATTAGCAGTTTCTAGAGACAGGAATTGGTCACTGTGGAGGAAACAAGACTCATTAGAGTCAGGTAAGATACGTAAAGTGGATATACACATTTGTTTAACAGTCTTGGTTAATATCTTTATCAACAGTCTGGATGAGGGGATTGAGTGCGCCCTCAGTAAGTTTGCAGATGGCATCAAGTTGGGTGGGAGCATCTATCTGCTGGAGGGTAGGAAGGCCCTGCAGAGGGACCTGGAC